TCAGCAACGTCAAGATGAATGCTTGCGAGCGCCGGAAGCCGGTGCGGCTCTACTCCAGTCCAAGGGGCCGCAGTCCATCCAGGACGAAGGGAAAACAGACAACCCCGCGCATTACCCTGCGGGCTTGAGATTGCAGAGAAATGCGGCCCAAAGCGAGATTCAGGATGTCAATGTTGAGCCCTCTGCCACTCATTCAGTTCCAAGTCTCGCCTCGCCAGCCCCTCACAAACGTGCCCGCCGCTCCTTGCGGGGCTCTGCTCGCCGCAGCACGAGAGGGAGCCTCGTGTAGAGTGGAGGAAGATCGGGAAGGATTTGTTTCTTCACTCATCACGTTTGCAGAGCCGTAATTAAAAAAAAGGGAACAGGGAGGGGCAATCACGTGCCGAGACACCGCTTTTCCGTACGAGCGAAAGGAAGTCCTTCATTCGACGTTCGGTGGTACTTCTTTTGCTTCCTGAAAAAGGGCGTCTTTTACTTTTTACACAACCTCGCCCGAGGCGAATCTCTTGACAATGAAAGCGACGCGGACCTCATGAGCCCAAGCTACCGGCCACTGTTCCCGACCCCTTACAGTATGTGATCCCGCAGGCCGCAGGACCCGCACTCCACCCACAAGCCCGGCGGCTCTCGCTGACTAAAGACCGGCTCTTGCAGCATGCATTGGGCCCTGTGCTGCGCGTACACATCCGCGAGTCGGGCCTGCAGCCATGTCATCTTCCCTGCCTTTCCCCCGACGTCCAACCTTAAGCCGCAAGCACAAGCTATGTCCTCGTTGTGATTGAGCAGGAAATTAGACTTGCAACAAGGGCAGAGGACGGCGATGTCGTCGTGTGAGAGGGTGTGACAATCGTATAGCGCCTGCACTGAGGCCTCGATATCGGAGCTTTCTAACTGCGAGTACTCTTCCAACGCCTCCGCATCTGCCGCCATGACTTCCGCCTCCAGCGCTTCTTCGATGCAGCGCATAAGCTCGAGTTGCTCCATCTCTGAGAGATCTTCCAATCCCCCCGCTTCGTATTCAGTGGTCGCACGGTCTTCTTCTTCTGCCACCGACCGTGATATCGGAGACCCGCCTTCCTTCAACCAAGATCCCGATGGCGGGGTCGCATGGCCTTGGTTCGATGCGAAAATGGGACGTGGTGGATAACGTGGCTCGAATGATTGATCCTCATTCTCTCCATGCCTGAAACCATTGATGCCATCATCATTTAGCTTTCCATCGGCGCCGTGGGCCTGCCCTTCCTCGCAGGACATACGGACAACCCTCATTTCACTCTGTAATATAGACATGACCGTGCTTCCCATTAACGATGGATTAAAACATAGCGATGGACTGGAGCTCTCTGAGGGCCGCAATAGTGCAAGCGATGGAGAAAGTGTTGAGGACGGAGGGGGTTCTGACGGAACGTGCGAGGACAGGGCACGAGGAGGTGGGGATTTCAGGCCTCGAAGCTCTTGAATCAACCGGCCCCGCTCCCGATGCACGTGGTTTAAGCATCGTTCTTTGAGCCTGTCTTTCCATCCTGATGATTTGCTGGTGCTGGAGGCGGCGGCAGGATTCTCCCTCTGCGTGGCGGTTGAAGCGGTTGTCGTGAAGAAAGCCTCAGCACTTGTCTTCAGGCCTGGCCTTGGTTTTCTTCTTGTCGACTGATCCATCCGCGAACCCCGAGGAGCCACTCTGTCCGGGTGTATCTGTGGGGAAGGATACATCGTCAAGGATAGGGGGCGTGCATTACGTGTTGAACAAGGAGGCGGGAATGCTAATACGTTTTTGGCGTACAACGTGATGTCGCCATCATCGTTCTTCGTAACCTCCCCTCCTAGACATGTTGTGCCTTGACAAGAATTCAAAATTTAAAAAAATGCAAGCACTAGAGTGAGACCGGCGCAATTCTTCACGTTGGCGGGTGAAATATCTTCACATGCACGAAGTACCAAAAAGACCTTAATTCTCTCCTCTTTGCTGATAACTCTCCTAAGTAGTGAGCTATTGAATCTTGCCCGGTCAGGATGATATTACTTCCTCTTCTTGCTCTCCCCTTCCCGCCTTTTTTATGCTGAAACCTCTCTCTGATCTGCTACGACATGGGTACAAAGGGGTCAAACATTCGTCGTTCCCGCGTCCGTTAGAAACATTGCATGATCTAAGCGTGGGATGTGGCCACAGGCTTGTGATCGAGCTGTTTCGAAATAAAGGGCACGTCAATGAGACTTGGCACTTGTCTATCCCCCGCATAGAAAGCTAGGACCTCCCTCGCCTTGCTGACGAGGTTATCAGCCGTCAATCCGTACTTGGCGTACACCTTGGCGTAGGGACCGGAGGCACCGAACCAGGTCAGTCCGAGGGCGGCGTGGGAGTACTTGGCCCATCCGTGCGTGGCAGACGCCTCAACGCTCACTACAGGTACGCCGGCGGAGAAGACGGAGAGCCGGTATTCCTTGTTCTGTTGGTCGAAGAGCTCCCATGAAGGAAAGGATACGACCCGGACACGCACAGTCTCGGCCAGGGTCTTCGCAGCTTCTACCGCTATCGCCACTTCTGAGCCCGAGCCCGTCAAAATTAGCTCCGGTGCTCCCCCTCCACCGTTGCTCCCGCCCATCTCGGCGAGGACATAGGCCCCCAGCAAGGTTTTCTCCGCCGAGGTCCCTTCCAGGTTGGGGAGGTTTTGTCGGCTCAAGGCCAGGACCGAGGGCGTGTATGGGTGCTCCAGCGCAGAGATGTAGGCCCCTGAAACCTCGTTACCGTCGGCAGGGCGCAGCAAGTGCAGGTTGGGCATGGCGCGGATCTGCTCCAAGGTCTCCACCGGCTGGTGGGTGGGTCCGTCCTCGCCCAGCCCGATCGAGTCGTGGGTCATGACGAAGATGACGCCCAAGTGCGAGAGGCAAGAGAGGCGGACCGCGCCCCAGGCGTAGCCGATGAAGTTCAAAAACGTGGCGACAAAAGGCCGCAAAGCGCCGTAAGCAAACATCCCGTTGGCCAAGGCGGTCATCCCGTGCTCGCGGACCCCAAAGCGCACGTACCGGCCGTCCGGCGTCTTCTTCTGGAAATCGCCGGAGCACGCCAGGGCCGTCAGGGTCGACGGGGTCAGATCTGCAGACCCGCCCACCAGCTCCGGCAGCATGGGCGCCAAGACGTTTAAGGCGATCTCCGAGAACTTCCGCGTGGCCATTGCCTTGTCCTCCGGCGTGTACCGGGGGAGCTTCTCTCTCCAACCATCTGGCAAGCGATGCTCGGTGCAACGCACCAGCTCCGATGCCTCCGCGGGGAAAGCACCCTTGTATGCCTCCATGGCCGTGTTCCAGGCCGCCTGGGCCGCCGCTCCCTTCGCGCCCGCGGCCTGGAAGAGCTCGGCCACCTCGGTGGGCACCACAAAGGCCTGCTCAGGGTCAAAGCCGAAGCGGCTCTTCAGCTGCTTCAGGTCCTCCGCCCCCAGAGGCGAGCCATGCACGGAATGGGAACCCTCCTTTTTGCTCCCGAAACCGATCCGGGTGCGGATCTTGATCATGCTCGGTCTATCGGTCTCGGCCTTGGCCGCCTTGGTCGCTGCCAAGAGAGCATCCAGGTCCTGCACGTCCTCCAGCGTCTGCACGTGCCAGCCGTAGGCCTCGTAGCGCTTCGCCACATCCTCCGTGAAAGACAGCGCCGTGTCCCCGTCTATGGTGATCTGGTTGTCGTCGTAGAAGACGATCAACCTCCCTAAACCCAAATGCCCGGCGAGCGAAGAGGCCTCGGAAGACACCCCCTCCTGCAGGCACCCGTCTCCACAGATCACATACGTGTAGTTGTCTACGACCTTCGCATGTCCTGACTTGTTAAAGACAGCCCCCAGGTGCATTTCGGCCATGGCCAAGCCCACCGCGTTCGAGATCCCCTGCCCCAGAGGGCCCGTGGACACCTCCACCCCCTTGATCAGGGTGTTCTCGGGGTGGCCGGCCGTGATGGAGTCCACCTGCCGAAACGCCTTCAATGCGTCCATCGTGACCTGCGCGTATCCAGTGAGGTGAAGCATCGCATAGAGTAGCGCGCAGGCATGGCCGTTCGAGAGGACGAAACGATCTCGGGCTAGCCATTGCGGATCTTTAGGATTGTATTTCATCACTTGAGTCCAGAGGAGATAAGCAAGCGGCGCCAGACTCATCGGCGCGCCAGGATGTCCACTGTTTGCTTTCTGAACCATATCAGCGCAGAGCACACGGACCGTGTTCACTGCTTTGGTCGACAAGGGGGTTACGAGGGACTGCTTCCCCTTCTTGGCCGTAGAACCATTTGCATCTCTCGAGGGGCTCACGTTGCGTTTGCCGGTGCTCGATGACATACTTTCTTACAATAAAAGAACGTATCCGAAGACTTCACAAAACTCGATTGAGTCGTCCTCTGCAACTGTTCATGTGAAAGGTGAGGAAGAACAAACATCTGAATATGAGGATGGACTTGAAGAGCCGGCATCTAGCATATTCGTCGGGTTGAACATGCAGAAAGGGTGTGATAAAAGCAGCTTTTACTCCAACAAAGGTGGAAAATGGCATTACTTTTGAAAATTGGCTTTGAGAGCGTAGTGATGCAAGCAAATGTGGCCTGCTAGGGGTCAAGCGTGAGAACGGGGAGACGAATACGTCGTGTGGTGCTCGTTGACCTTCGTCTGGTTCGCGAAGAACATGGAATAAAGCGACGAAAGACGGAAAGTATTTGGCACGTGCGCATAAGCGCGGGGCGGTAGGTGGCGAAAACTATCACCTCATGGCTTGATCTAGCAATGAACATACAGCGCCTCGAGTCCTGAGTGTCGCATATCGGGCTTCCTGTCCGTCATCATGTCGTCATCGAGGATCCTCGGGCACCTTTTCCATCACATCATCCGGCGTCCACCATCGTCATCCATAGCCTTCGGGTAGCTTTTCGATCACATCATCAGACTTTGCCGTCTTCCCCCCCCGGGTATTGGCGTCTTGCGCCGGGCAAAATAATACATTGAAGCCGAATTAAATAGTTATCGCGCACAAACAGGAGTCATGTTTCTGCATCTTTTCGTCATTTCAAGGTCGGGAGGCCTCATCTACAACAAAGATTTAAGTTCTAGCGCACCTCGGCTTACGGTGAACGAGTGGCTTGTCTTGGGATCTACATTTCATGGCTTGCATTCCATCGCTGCGCAGGTAGCACCATTGGCATCGTCAGGCATCGAAAAGCTCGAATGCGACAATTTGAAGCTCCAGTGTTTCCAGAGCCGGACGGGGGTAAAATTCGTTTTGACAGCCGAGCCGGGCACGCCGGACTTGGATAATGTGCTACACGGAATTTACGAACTCTACGCAGACTATGTGCTCAAGAATCCCTTTTACGAAATGGATATGCCCATTCGTTGCGATCTTTTTCAGCAAGGCGTTGAGCGTTTGATTGAAAGAAACTCTAGAGAGCTAAAGAAAGCACGGAGCGATGCATGAGATTCGGTCCCTGTAAATCATGTGTTTGTAAAGCGACTGCGGGTTTCAGATGGTAGTAGACTCATTTTAAAGGATTGTAATGCATGATACAGCATGAAAACGTTTGTATCCTTGACGCATACAGTATAGATTTTTGAAGAAATTCGACCCGAAGGAATAACGATATCTTTTCCACACACGATTTATTGCTTTTCTGTAGTCCCTCGCATTTCGTGGAGCTGTCTCCTCCATTCTTTACAATCGTATACCGAGGCACAATTGAATATGTGACTGATTCTCATGAGACAAAAGCATTTTCGACAGCACTTGCCCGGATAATGTGAATGTTTGGCTCTGTCAATCACGAACGTGACCAGCGGCTTACCGGCCCGGTCGGCCCTCGTCCTTTGACTCTCGTATCATGCACGCCCCGCACCTCGCTGGCACAAGCCAACCATTCCTTCTTCTCTGATTATGTATAATCCCGCGCCTCGCGTTTCTGTACCTGCGTCCTTCTGCGCACTTCGTGTTCACTTTTTCCCTGGCACCCTTTCCTATGTTCAGCCTTCCCATCATTACTTTATACATTACACTGTGCTTCCATTTTTCATTTCTTATATCCAGCATCTTTTTCCTTGGTCACTATGTAATTATATTCCTGTGCAGGGCACTTATGCGCCCTATGTCGGCTATGCAACCCCTTGACTGAGCGCACCCTCTCCCTCGGCCACGCCCCATTCCTTCCCCTTTTCCTCCTCCTTCTCCCCCAAAGCCTCATCCACGCTCCGTCGCCTCCACTGCCGACTGCTTTCCCCCGAAAAAACACCGGTCGCAGACCCGAGCAGGCGCAGAGAGCCCGATGGAGGGCAAGGCCCGACGATGCCGGGAGCAATCCTGACAAACCAGTCCACCGCAGCAGCGACAATTGTGCTTCTCCCGGTCCCGATGCGCCTCGCTGGCCGTGGCCCGCTGCCAGGTCAAATCCACCGCACAGCAGACGCAGGCCTCCTTCTCCTTGAACCCCTCCCACGCGGGCGGCGGCTGCGGGGCTCGGCGGACGTCGATCACTTCGCAGAGAGCGGAGAAGTAGGCCGTGGGGGCGTGGTCCTTCAGCAAATTCCCCTGCAGGGGGATGCGGCGCAGGCCCGGGAAGCTTCGGGGGGGCATGCAGGCCTTATAGACGCCGCGGTAGCTGTAGATATGAACCAGACGGCCCGGCGGGTATAGCTCTGGGAGGCTCACGTCCTCCACCAGTATCCCGCAGTCCTCTTCCTCCTCTTCCTCCTCCTCCTCCTCCTCTTCTTCTTCTTCTTCTTCGTTTCCTTCCTCCTTTTCCTCACTTTTGCTTCCTCCCTCCCTTCCTCCCTCCTTCCCAGCGGGGGATGGTCAAGGCGCCCCGCCAACTTGAAGCTAAAGATTGCCGAGAGAGCTGGCCCGTGCTGGCGGTCACAGGCGCCGGCGGCGATGGGCTCGACGAGGACAAGGAGGAGGTGGAGGAGGAGAAGGAGCAGGTGGAGTCGGCAGCTGCGGTGGGCGCGGTGGTGCTGACGGAGACTTGCTTCGTGTCCACGGGCACGCCCTCTACCTCGAGCACTGCCCGGGAGTCCGGCTCTCTCCCGGGCGCCGCCGCCGCCGCCTCCGACCCCTCACTCCCAAACAAATTCCAGAGCGCCAAGCTTTGCTCCAGGCCCGCGCCTCCTTCTTCCTCGGCGCCCATGCCGTCCGAAGATGCTGGGGGGGCATCCCTCGATCCGAGCCACCTGCCCTGCAGCTCCTCCCCTTCCTCTCCCTCGCTCTCCCCCTCCTGCAGCGACCCCGTGCGGTCCCCCATCCACGCCTGCGCTTCCTCCCCCGCCCTCTCTGCCCCCTCGCCCCCATCCTCCCCCCAATCGTCCGTGTCGTCTCCATCCCCCAAGCCTAGGGGCGTGAGAGTCGACGAGAATCCTTCCAGCCGGCCTTCCCCCGCCCCTCCCCCCCCTAATTCCTCCCCCCCTTCTCTCCTTCCAGCCTCCCCACTCTCAGCCCCGGGAGACGAGGCAGCCCCCAGGCTCGGAACAGAAGTCCCCGATGACGTGAGCGCGGAGTTGACGCCCGCCTCGCCAAGCCCGCAAGGCGCGGGGCAGGCGCCCGTGACATTTTTCGAGACCGAGCTCCCTCGGTCAGCCGCCGCGTCCCCGCCCGAATCCAAGAGCCGGCGCCGGGCGAGGGCCAGGTTCACCGTGGTGGTGGTGCCGTCCTCGTGCCGGATCGAGTAACGGTTCGAGGCGGCGCCGGAGCCCACGGACACCACGTCACGCGTGCAGCCCACGCCCCAGTAGTTCCCGAGGTCGTCGTCGCAGCTGTCCCACCCCTCCCCCGCGCCCTCCCCGTCCCCTCCCTCTTTTCCCTCACCTTCCCTCGTCCTCGCCAGTCCACCCTTCCCCCTCCCCTTCCCCCCTCTCCCCCTCGTCCTCGCTCCGAATGAAGGACAGTGACCGGCTCCCGGGGGCCGCCCCCTTCTCCGCCCCCCCCGCGACAAGACCCGCCTCCACCGTGGCGCCCAATGGCCTTTGCTCCTGACGATGATCGCCTCCACGTCGTCCTGCCAATGCTGCTCTGCCCTCTCCCGCTCCGAGAGCAGGTCTTTCAAGAGGCCCCGCACGCCCGTGGGTGTCACCCGCGGAATGACGTCGTCGTGCAGCACCACCGTGGTCACGAAGGCCTCGCACACTTGAGCCAGCTTCTGGTTCACGCAGGCAGGGCTACCAAATGTGTAGCACCGCAACCCCTCCGTCATCCCTTCCTCTCGCATCAGCACCCCCAGCAAGGCCGCCACCGCCCCGCCCACCGAGTGCCCCGCCAGCGTCAAGGAGTAGCCCTCCTTGGCCAGCCGATGGAGATGGGGGTAGACCTCGCTGAAGAGCCAATGGCCCGCCTCGGCCGCTCCACAGGAAGCCATCCACTCCGTCGAGACGTTCGCCCACCCGCTCTCCTTGTCCTGACTGCCCTTCTCCCCGCTCCCGGCCCCCTCCCCCGCGAGGGGAAAGGGCATGGGCAGGCCCCGGATGTCGACGAGAACATCCTGCGCCCGGTCGGGACCACGCACCACCAGGCAAGCCTCCTTTTCGGTCAAGTGGCAGAGCAAGACGAAGGCCGGCTGCCCAGCCTGGGCGGCGGGGGGCGCGTAGGCGAACACCAACCGCCACCCTTGCTGCTGTGCCTTGAGTTGCATCTCCACCAGGTTGTCGCAGTAGGCGAAATGCAAGGCCAAGGGCGCCACGTCCAACAGGTCCTGCATCAAGCTGTCCGAGGCCGGTGGGCATCCTCGGTGCGCCTCCTGCTCGGCATCGGGAGCCGCTCCTCGCTCCCCCCTTCCCCGTGCCAGCAGGTAGTACATCGCCGCGCTCAGCTGGCTTCCCGTCACGGGCCAGGCGGCGTCCACCCCCGACACCTCCTTGAGCAGCTCGACCGCCTCCACGTGCTCGTGCCGAAGCAAGACCCCCGCTACGCCCGCGTACCCGTATCGGCTGAAGAGCTCCAAGGCCTCGCCAGCCAAGGCCGTTGTGCTGCGCAGGGGCGGGGCCCGGCGCGCCGCGCGGCTTACCCACCCGCCCACCGTCCGCAAGGCCCTGTCCAGCTGCGTATGGTCCCCCGGGGCAAAGTAAGGGATCAAACGGTCCTTCAGAAAGGCCTCGACCCGCACCATCCGCCAGACGATCCGGTCTTTAAGGTCCTCGTCCTCCAGCTGGCCCTTGCAGGCGCCGCACACCCGGGCCGGGACCATGTAACCGACCTTGGGAATGGCGTGCCTGAAAGCGCTGTGCTCCTGGCAGAAGCTCTCCCCGCAATGCCGGCAATGGTGCCGGTAGCGGGTCACCCGAAGGCCTTGTGGCATTTCTTGCAACGGTCCCGTTTGCGGAAAGGAGGAGGACAAAAGCGCGCCGCGAGGGCGTACTGAGCGTCCTCGTCACCTTGGGCCGCCTGTAGCCGCAGCTCCGCCACCCGCAGCAGCTCTCCAGGGTCTGCAACCCCCAGCATGTCTGCAAATTCCGACAGTCCCACGTCCCGGACTTTTTCGTCGATCAGCTGCAGATCGTAGGCGGAGATCGAGCCCAGCCGCCTGCCCACGTCCCCCAACCGTTCTCAGGAGGCAGAGGTTTGTGCCCGCTCTGGACAAGCTGTAAAGTGGCATAGTCAAGCACCTCTCGGGTCCGGTCTGCTGTGAACCGGCTCATTTCTGTGACGGTGGCGGCGGCAGCTCGGGCGATCAGGGTCCTGCTCAAGTAGCGGGACACTGAGGCCACGCCCCGGTTGGCGGTGTGACCCCAGCGGGCGGCGTGCAGGGCGGTACCGCTGAAAGGTATAGGGGAAAAAGGGTTAAGAGAGAGGATCAAAATGCTGGAAGTCGTGAATGGCTGTGCCGCGGAGGCGGTCAACAGCGTGTCTCCAACCGCTATCACTCCCGACGTCGGGTGGTCGGCCCTCTGGCTGGTCTTCCCGGTCTGAAAGCCTTTCACTCTACGCCAGTACGACTTGATATCCCGGTCATGCACATATCTTATCCCTCCTGACTTACCGCGTCAGGGCTGTTGTGACCATAGCGACGGCCGCGGTCCCCCCACTGCCACTGCTGCTGGTGCTGCTGACGCTGCTGGTGCTGGTGATGCTGGCGCTTCTCCCATGATCTCTGCTTGGGACTGCAACAAGTGCAGACTTAGCCCCTTCTCCGTCCTGCCCCTTCTTGTTGGCCAGGGTTCCGTCTTTTGGCATCATTCACCTCAATTACTTGCCTAATCTTCTTCCGGGAATGAAAAAAGAGTCGGCAGGTTCCCGATGGCGGGGTGCCAGCAATCACCGGGCCCAATCTTGGGAGGGTCCTTTAATCAGTCTGTGTGCATGCTCTTGCGTGCTCTTCAGCTCTCTGTGCGTCAAATGGCATGGAAAATGTATTGCATTGGACAAAGAGGATGAGTGCCAACGCGCGGGCGGGGAAATCAACGTGAAGTTGCTCCAGCTCCTCGAGTTGACGTCCAGGCATGCGAGCAAGGTGCGCTGGACAATCTTGCCCGTAAATCATGTCTAGTTGGAAGTCCAACGAGACCAAGCCATCCATG